GCCCATACTGCTACCAGAGCAATGGTTCTATAATGTAAGTCTGATCAGATCACTCTCACTTAATTCTCATTAAGAGTCCCTTATGTTTACCTTTCCATCTTACCTTTTCCCTACTCAGCACAATTTATGTACAGCTTTGTATCTAGGTTTCTGTTCAGCTTGACCCCAACTGAAGTTACCTCCCTGAAGCCAGAATTATTCTCTTACCCATTCTTATGCACTCTTTATACATGAATACTGCAATTATCTACAGTTTATATCTGGCTTTTCAATGGAGCCATCTAAAAGCACAACAGCCATAATAAAAAGTAAATAAAAGGATGGGGCATAGCTCAAGTGGTAGAGTGCCTGAGTAGCAAACTATTAAGGCTGTGAATCCAACCCCCAGTACCGTCAAAAAAAGAGGAAAAAAAAAAAAAACCACTATAAACATTTGCAAAGGGAATACATTCAGTATACTAAAAATAACTAAAGAATAAAAAATAAGTAAAAGCAATTGATATAACTCACTAATCTCTCAAGCTAAATTAAATCTCCTACCCCTGTCTCTACAGGATAGTTAAGATCATACCAACACTAATATTTGGGAGATCTAATTCTAAGCCTGTTAAGATGCAACTTGTAACTGAATTGTTTTAAAAAGAACTGTTTTCGGCCAGGTATAGTGATGCATACTGTAATCCCAACTACTGGAGAGACTAAGGCAAGAGTTGCAAAGTCCAGCCTGAGCAACTTAGCAAGAAGCTATCTCAAACAAAACTTTAAGAAGGGCTAGTATAGTTCAGTGGTGGACCCCAGGGTTTAATTCTCAGTACCAGTACCAGTTTTATTCCACCTTTTCAGCTGCAGCTGAAAAATGGAATGATTTTTTACTGATGAGACACTGGTCTAACTATGCTAGTACTCATCTGATTTGAAAGTTTAAGACAGTAGTCATTCAAGGGAGATTTATGCTAAGATAAACTGACAAATTATTATCATTAAGAAAAATTAAAATGAACAAGAATGAAAAGTTGCAATAGCATTTCGCTTGCTCTGTTTCTTCAAAGTTACAACTACCATATCATAATTATTATAGAAAAAGAAATTATAACAACAAAACTGCTTTTAGGCTGTCTTATTTCTAGATCATTTAAGTGAGCCACAGAATTACTCTCATCCTTTTTTTTTTTTAAGACATACTGGTAAAATAAAAAAGACAATTTTTGGTGGCACACACCTACAATTTCAAATATTCAGGAGGCTGAAACTAGAGGATTGCTGTCCGAGAGCCGCCTGGGCAAAGTTAGCAAGACTCTGTATCAAAAACAGGCTGGGCAGGGTGGTGTCTGCCTGTGGTCCCAGCTCCTCTGGAAGTGGGGATAGAAGGCTCGTGTTTCCAGGCAAGCACAGGTAATGTTAGTGTGACACCCCTACCTGGAAAGAAAATTAACGGGGACAAAAAAAAAAAAAAAGAAAGAAAGAAAATTAATGGGGGCGTGGCTACAGTGGTACAGTGCTTACCTACCAAATGTAAGCCCAGTATCAATCCCCAGTACCCTGAAAAAAAAAAATCCATTTTTTTATAGTCACATAGTAGAAATATGTATTAAACTGAGTATGATACTGATATTAAATGAATCTGAATAAAGCTTTGTATTACAAATTTTATTTGCTCGCATTACACAAAAGTGGCTATGAACTCTATTTTCCTTCTCAAATTCTTATTAAGAACACCATTTCTAGGGTGGATTAGTAATACTGCATGAGGAAGACAATGAGCAACAATCAAAACAAGCATTCTTAAAGTGCAGCATCTGTGAAAAGAAAAACAGCAAGATAGCCCGTTTCTGACAAGTTGTTACAGAAATCGAAGTCAACTGAAACACTGGACATTTCCCTATAGTACTTGAAACATCATATACCTGTTTATTAATAGATATACAAACATTAAAAGTAATATAAGTACATGACAGACACCCAAACTGGTACTGAATGAACAAAAAAGACATAGTGACAAGTCCACCTATCCTCCCCTTTTCTAATACAGAATACATTAAGAAAAAGCTTTGAGCTCTCAAAGTACTTTGATCTCAAGTTGAACTTCTTAACTGTATTTACTTTCATTTCTTTCTCCAACACAAATCACAAGTTTCATCTCTGTGTCCTTAAAAAAAAAAAACACACACACTTACATGCTTAAATACCCTTTCTGTTTTTGGATTCAGAATAGACATTTAAAAAAAAAATCCATGGATAAAAAAGGTTATCCTGGCTAAAGGTTTTCTAACCTTGTAAGACCACTCACTGTCCTTTTAAAGGTTAGATAATTATGACAATCCTCTGAAATGCTGCTAACTCAATGTATGATTGCAGAAGCACGTTTCTCTCTTTCTTTCTTTCTCTCTCTCTTTTTTCAGGGCATTAGCACCAGAAGCTGCTTTTTTCTTACCTAAGTATTCCTTGCACTCTTTACATTACAGCATCTGGAAGAGACCATTCGGGTCCTAAATACTCCATTAAAAATAGTTTTGAGTATCTTCCCAGTATATTATTATATGTAAATTTTATATATTAAAAATCATTACACCATGGGAACTGTAATTAGTAATGTCCTTAGTAAACTACAGTTATTTTAGCATAAAACAGCTCTATGTACCCATCATTAAAAAAAAAAAAAGAATCTTCGGATGAGTAATTGCTTAGTATAAATTCTGAATGAACTCAGTAATGTTAAAGGCAACAACTGAGAATGGGGTTACAGGGAGAAGAAAAATCAGATATTTGGCTATTTTCCTTCTCAATTTATCCATAATCTACATATTCCCCCACTCCAACATATTAAAATAAAAATGCTGGTAAGGCTTTTTTCTCTTACGTTTACGCAATACTAAGAGTTATAAAACTCCCAAAAGAGAAAATGGGAAATAAAGAGCATAAAGCTCTCCAAAACCATATCTGAATTTAAAAGCTCCGAATTAACAAAGTCGATAAAGACAATGAGTCTTTTCTTGCCCCACTTTGGAGCAACAGGGGAGAATGAGTCAAGAAGGATTTAATGAAACAGAATCACAAGAATGGTCGCATTACTGACGCAGGATGAAACTTAACGACTGCCGATGTCAAAGTGCAATTGTAAGTAATAATATTCCTCAAACTGTTTACAACCCTTTTTTCCCTCCCTCTACTACCTTCAGTCAACTTCACATAAAATACAAAGTTCCAGTATTCGCAGAAAGGACAAACATGAATGAAAACCGGGGACTCCTGAGTGAGTTACAGACCTAATTGGAACATCTTTGGTTCCACTGGCTCACCGCAACCCATCTAACACCAAGGCCACAAAAAAGCAACCTCTTCCAACCAACCGTCTCGAGCGTGACACTTGGAAAAGTACCCACGGGGAGACTGGCAGACACGGGGACAAACGAGCGGTTCTGCCAAGTTAAACGGGCGGCCCTAGCATGCGGCGAAAGGGAACTTTGGTGACACGCCCAAGGCGGGCGGCCACGTTAAGGATACAGCTCTTCCGAGGTGGAGACGGCTCTCGCCAGCTCTGGCCACCGCCGCCGAATCCGGATCCCGTGCCTCCTCCCGGCGGAGGCCGGCCCCCCGGCTTGCCTCCGCGCTCGCCCCCTCCGCGCCCCCGACTCCAGCGGCTCCCACCCCGGTAAGGCCTGCCGCGAAAGCGGAAACGGTCCAACGCCAGGTGGCTCCGCTCCCAGAAGGACGGCCGCGGGCTGCTTTCCGACAGGGAGCTCGACGGCATCCGCACCGAGGGCGGGTGAGATCGGAACGGCTCTTTGGGTCGGTAGCTACTGTGTCCCCTGAGATGGCCCCGCTCCGATGCGTGCCGCGACCGCGAGAAATTCCTCAGCTGCTGCTGAGAAGAGGACGATGACGAGGAGGAGCCACCGCCTCCGCCGGATCCACCGCCCCGAGCCGGGTGAGGAGGCCTGCGCCGCGGGTACGGTAACAGCCCGCCAGCGCTGCTGCTGCTGCTGCTCCGGCTCCGTATCTGGCTGTTATTGTCGTCGTCGCTGATCTCCCCATCTTCAAGCTCCCCTTCTTCCTTCGGCGACAGGCCACTGGAGGCCGGGGCCGAAGTATCTGAGGTCGCCATCCGGGGAGCAGCGCCTTCCACACAACCTTAGCCCTCTGTCCAGGGACCCGCCCGACAAACTGCCTTCCTTCCACCTCGGCTCCCTCCCTTCCTAACGGACCGAGTGGATGCGGCCTTACCGTACCCGGACAACCTAGCGGGCTCTGCTCCCCAACTTCCCCGTACCCCAATTCTTTCTCGCCGGACTGTAGCAAGCCAGTTCCCTTTCCTAGCGCCCCCTTGCTCCTCCGTGATCAGGGCTCTTCCGCCTCGCGAGAAAGAGGCTCTGGAAGCGGCTCTGTGCCGGACGTCATTTCCTGAGGCACGCAGGAAACGAGGCTCCCAGTTCTCGCGATAACAAGGAAAGCACCACGCAATGGTCTCTGAGATTTGTAGTCTTTGGTCTTGTCATCGGGTTCGTCCTTCCAATCTACGACTTACACCTATCCCAGACTTTGGCCTGGGACAGCTTGGGTGTGTGCCGGGGTAGGCGGATCTGTTTATAATTGCAGACCTGAGTTTCAGAGTGTTTGGTGGGGAAAACACCTCTGTCTTAATTGCTCGAAGACTGCTGCCAGAGTGACGCCGTAAACCTATTTCTTTTCTTTCTTTTTGGTTGGGGGAAGGGTGAGTGTAGGGAGGGAGAAAAAAAAAAAAAAGCATAAAACAAAAACGGGTTGTGTCCGCCATGTTGGTGAAGGCAGAGGAAGGCGTCTGGAGCTCCAGCACGGTGAGCTCTGCTGGCTTAACACAGCCATATTAATAAAGGGAAAGGGAAGGTGGACCTTCCTTCACGCCCACTCCCCGTACACTGTGCTGTCCCCGCCAAGCCCGGTGGTCTAGCTTTTGAAGGAAGGACGCTTAGCAGCCTACGCCCACAACAGGCATAAGGTACCCCCCGAATGAGGGGGAGAGGGAAATGCCGACCAATTGCGCCGCGGCGGGCTGTGCCACCACCTACAACAAGCACATTAACATCAGCTTCCACAGGTAACGGGCGGGGCCTGGGGGTGACGGCAGCGGGAGCTCTACCTGTCTGGGGACCGCGTGCAAAGCGCAGGGGACGCGCCTCACTGTTGCTACTCCCACCAGCCGCCGGGAAGCATCCTCTTTTTATGTCCTTTGTGTGTGTACCTCAAAGCTGTCTTCTTCTCCTTCTGGGAATATTTACTCAATTTCTAAAAGAAATCCTAAGTGCTGTACGGTGATGACCCCTTGGAGAAAAGTAAAGGGAGGATACCTTAATTTTCTACTTTCTTTCCTAAGTATTAGACCATGCCTTGAGAGGGATGAAGCCACAAGGGAGAGATATTTTTCCTTTTCAAGTCAGTCACCTTGAATGCCTGCGGTGTTAGCGTTAAAATTAGGAAATGTTCACTAGCTTAATTGACATGGAAAGCCTTTAAATTTCTAGTAGTCACACACAGTTACCGTGGAGGAACTAAGCCATCAGTGATAACCATGGTATTACTTGCAAAAGATGAGCTGTCTTCTTACTTGTGCAGTTTAATAAAAATCTATGTTTTATTTGCAGGAAGAGCAAACAATTCTTTAGTTCTGTCAAGTTAAAATTCTACAAAAACACTTTTTTTTTTTCTGGTAGCACTGGGGTTTGAACTTAGGGCCTCTCGCTTGCTAGGCAGGCGCCCTACCACATGCGCTATACCATATGAGCTGCTCCACCAGACCTAAAACTCTGAAAAACACTTTGTACACTCCATGAAAGTTAATAAGTACTGGGTAATTTTGTTCACCTTCTCTTCAAGTGCCTGATACCTGCCTGAAGAAAAGAAATATTAAAAAGTGAAAATGATTTTATATATCCCACAACTTTTATGATCTTAAAATATAGAAAATGTCCCTATTTCACTATCACTAAATGCACCCCCTTACTAAAAGCTACTGTTAAAAAAATCTTTATGATATTTGTTTTTAAACTTCTTATAAGTACCACAGAAAAACATTCAGAGACCTAACAGCTTTGGAAAGTCAAAGAATACTTCTCCAAAGATGTAACATTTCAAATGAGACCAAGGATGATATAGATTTGGTTCTCTTTGCTACTTAAGTATTTTCTATTTTATTCTGAGAGTACTTGAGAAGCATGAACAGTTTTAAAAAAAGATTGGCATGATTCGATTTGCATATTAAAAAGCCCTCTGGGTGCAATGCAGAGAATTAGAGTGTTACTTAAAATGCTAGTTAAGCAACATCAGAGATGAATTTGATGAGAAAGGCGCTTATTATAGAATGTTAATTTATTATTTCCTTCACAGGGAAATCCTGCTATAATGTCAACTGAACTAAATACTACTTAATTGTTGATAAAAGGAGCACTGCATTAAGGGAGGTGACAATTGATAGAGAAAAACTATTTAGGATGCTGTAGTAAAACAAGGTCTAGAGTAGGATGATAATATTGACAGTAGAGATGGAAAGAGTCATACACATTTAAGAATTGTTTGAGGAGAAATTACTGCATTTAGTAATTTGATGTGGAAGATGAGAGAGAGGTAGGTGTCCAGGCACTACCTCTCTCTTTGAGGATTGCAGCTTGAAGCCAGTCCAGGGAAAAAGTTAGCAAGAACCCCATCTCAACAAACTAGCAGAACATAGTGGCTATCTTCTGTAATCCATCTATGCAGGAGGTATAAATAGGAGGATTATGGTCCAGACTTGCTTAGGCAAAAAACTGAAGACCCTATAAATACCAAAAAGTAACTGAAGCAAAAAGGGCCAAGGGTGTGGCTCAAGTAGTAGAGCACTTGCCTAGCAATCACAAGACCCTGAGGTCAAACTCCAGCGCTGCAAATCAATAAATAAAATGATAATAATAAAGATATTTTCCTGTTTCATAAATAAACAGTATTTAACGACTCTTCTCCTCTTATCCCCATGTACAAACTATGTTGCCCAAACTTACTGTCTCCCTTTTTTTTTAGCCTACTCCAGTCTTGTGTCCCTAATAATCTTATGAAACTACCCTTGCTAGTATCACCTCTGTGTCTCTCTGTATGCATTTTTCATGTGTGATCATTTCCTCAGTGAAATATTCTCTACTTTTAAATTATTTAACACTACTTTTTTTATGAGATTTTCTTTTTTGGCTTACTTTCAATCTCTTCTAATAGCCTTTCTCCCATTCCCTAACATAGTTCCTTACATTCTTATCAAAAAGATTTCAACTGTTCCTGTGAACTCAGTTAACATCTACTTGTTTAAGTTTCCCCAATGTTAGTATCTCTAGTCTATATCTCTACTGAGTACCAGACTTACAGGAGTATATACTAAGTATTTCCCTTGTCTCCTGCCAGTGTAACTGATTCAACATCTGAGTGAACTGTCCATCCCATGAACATACCCCAGTTCCTGCATTCCCAGTCCTAGTAAATGGAAACAGCAGCCACCCAGAAACTTAGAAGCCATCCTCCCTTGACTTGTCATCATTCCCTCTTGATTGGATTATTTCAGCAGCCTCTTTACTGACTCTTGCTTTCACTCAAGCACTGCTAATCACTCTTCTAAAATCAATGTTCTTTCTATAGCTAAGTGTTTAACCAGGGAAATGGAAAGTCCTGATTTGTCGTGTTTGTCTAGTTTCCATGACATATACTCTTACCAAGGTTAGTTTCAAGTTAGTAATAGGACATTACTGATCATGAAGTTAAGAGGTATATAATATCACACTATTCTACAGTATTTCCACCAAATAGATACAACAGACATAAGTGACATTAGAATAATAATAATAAAATAATTAGGAAAATGGGTTTGGTTTTCACTATATTTGGTTTTTATTTTATTGCAGGATTATATAAGTTTTAATGGTGTGTGTTACAACTGTCTTAAAATTTTTTCTCTTAATAACTCTTCAAATTCAGTCCTTCAGTGGCTTACCAATGCCATTTTGAACATATTTCAAAATCTTTGAAGGCCCGCTGGTATTATTTCATGTCCTAATATCTCTTCTCTGCCCCCCAAGATACTCTTTCTGTCCCCTCATCCTGTGCAGGGGTTTGAACTCAGGGCTCCACACTTTTTAGGCAAGTGTTCTACTACTTGAGTCCCTCCTGCAGTCCAGCGTAGTTTTTTGAACTCAGGGCTTTGCACTCACAAAGCAGGTACTCTACCACATGAGCCACACTTCCAGTCCATTTTGCTCTGGTTATTTTGGTGATGGGAGTCTCACAAACTGTTTGCCTAGGCTGATCTTGAACCTTGGTCTCAGCCTCCCAAGTAGCTATGATTACAGGTATAAGCCACTGGCACCGAACTCTCAAGATACAGTCTTCACTACTCCCACTTAATGCTCTTTTAAGGCCTCTTGACCAGAACAGCCTTTTTCTACGATTCCATACAGCTCTGTACTTACTCTTTTGTAAGACTCATGACACTTAGTAACTGCTGTTTTAAAAAGAAAGTGATGCAAGAGGGCTAGGGCTGAGGACTTAGCTCAGAGGTAGAGTACTTGCCTAGCATGTATGAGACTCTGGTTTGATCCCCAGCACTACCACCACAGCAACCACCAGAGAGAGAGAGACAGAGAGAGAGAGAGAGAGAGAAAACTTGAAATAGCCTGCCTAAATTCTGTATTCTACAAAGGAGTCAAAATTGGAATTCTGTTTTGTTGAGAGGCAGTGTTCTCACCCACTGTTGTCTACTTCATTAAGGCTACTTCAGATGATAGGTATCATGTCTGTTTTATTTGCCATCATGTCTTCAGTACCTATGACAGTGCTTGGAATATAAGAAGCATTCAATTGCTTATTAAAGATATAAACAAAATGGCCATTTTCAAAGTACTGAGTGATTTTTCAAAATATCTAATGTCTGTGAAAGTCTGGTTATATTGTGTAGACAAGATAAATTCATCTGGGCAAGGTGTGATAACTCACATCAATTACTCCGGAGATGAAAATGAGGAGGATCAAAGTTCAAGGCCAACCTGGGCAAAAAGCTAGTGAAACCCCCATCTCAGTCAATAGGTGTACCTGTGATTCCACCTGCTTTGGGAGGCCACAGGCAGGAGGATGTCAGTCTGAGGTTGGCCCAGGCAAAAACCGTAAGACCTTACTTAAAAAATAATTAAAACAAAAAGAGGGCTGGAACCATGGCTCATGTGGTAAGAGTGCCTGCCTAGCAAGCACGAGGTCCTAAGTTCAAATCCCAGTACTGCCCCCTACTCCAAAAATCATAATCATACATTGTTTACCACCATGTGAATTTTTAAGATTTATGGGATGAATTATTATTATTACTTAATATAATAAGTAATATTATATTATGAGTTAGACTTTACCCTTTAAATTTACTGTGAAAAATCTAAACACATGCAAAACATGATTAAAATTGATGCTGTAAAAACTAGGTATGGCGGTACATGCCTGTAATTCTAGCACTGGGGGTGGGGGAGAGGCAGGAGAATCTCAAGTTCAAGGCCAGCTTGGACTACATAGAGAGGTCAAGGCCAGTTTGAACTACATAGCAAGACCCTGTCTCAAAAACCCAAGGGCTAGGGATGTAGCCTGTTGGTAGCATGCACAAGGCCCTGGGTTTGATCTCTGGCATTGCAAAAGAAAATTTAAAAAAAGATTAATACCATATAAAATATACCAGAATCAAAAGTGAAATTGTTAATTGGTCTACTTATTCTATTTCAGCATAGATAATCTAAAAACTATTTAGCAATGCCAAACCCTGTTAGTTCATTTAGTCATTGATTCACCCAGAAAAGCTGATTGAGTGCTTAACAGGTAGGTATTGTGGTAGATACTACTATGTTAAGTCCTGGGATAGGAATGGTGGAGTGTCTGAAGTGATAGAGCTTAGCAAGTTTGAGGCCCTGAGTTCAAACCCCAGTACCACAAAAAAAAGAAAAAAACACAAAACCCAAGTTACTAGATCTAGGGATAAAGTAGTGAAAAACATAGCCCTTATCCTGGAGAAACTTACAGTATAATGGGGGAGAAAGAAAAGTAAACAATTAGACTATAGTGATAGTAGTACTTTATGATATAGAAGCATCTAACTAAGTCTTCTAATTGTGAAAAACTTTTTTAATAAGATGGGATTCCTATACAGTCTTAAAAGAAGCAGGTGGTTTGGTTGAGTTAAGGCTCCGTTCAAAACAATGATTTCATATTTAAGGAGCAAGTTTGAAATAAATCTTCAAAAAGAATTAAGGTAAAATATAACTGAAAGATAGTCTTCCTATATTTGAAGAGTTTTATACAAATAATAATATAATAATGTTTATTTGTGTGAGTCTTCACTGACGCTCTGATAAGAAATGTGTTTAACAAGGTTTGCTTTTTAGCCTAAATTTTACTTTCCAAATCATTATATAATGAAATAGACATCTTTGAAATGAGAATAAATTGTCATTAAGAGATGAGAGCTAGGCATGTTAAATTCTTCATCAGAAAATGTCTATTTTCTGCCACGTGTGGTGGCATGTACCTGTAATCCCAGGACTTGGGAGGCTGAGCCAGGATGATTGCAAGTTCCCAAAAAACATAAAGAAGGAAGGGAGGAAAGAAAGAAGGAATTGATTTTCTAATGAAACCAAAATTTTCTATGAAAATATTATGCAGTATGGAATGACAAATCTTCAGGGTATGTCTGGGGTTGGGGGAATGGGAGGTATTTACTGTAAATTTGGGATATCATCTCTTGGTGCTCCTCATCACTGGTAACCTGTGCAAACCTAATACTGTACATGTGGTAACAGTCCAAAAGCTGTTATCTAGTAAGGTTTCAGTTCATATTCTGAAATCATATGGTCCTCTACAGTGGATTTTATGGTTCTTTTTATACACAACAGAGTTCATATTCTTGAAGAATAAGATAAACTAAAGAAGAGTTGAACCTGAATTTATTACAGGTGAATGTGGTTCTTGAGTTTCAAAATTAGTCAACACGGCTGCCACGATTTTTAGAAACAGTCCTTTATATTGTCTTTTCCTTAACAGGCATACATTGGATGCATATCAGTATATTTTGTATTTGAAATAAATATGAGAGGAAACATACCTTCCTAAAACATTTTACCTTTTTGTAATAATGCTTTCTGCAATGCTACATAACTTAAGAGTCGATTTAAAAAAATACATAGATACAGTTTAACTACATAGAATTAACACAGTGAATTACTAATTTAAGTATTTTGTATTTAATGTAGCAAATTTTTATTGACTCCTGTCTGCTATGCTAGGAGTCAGAGACAAATAGATTTAAAAATATCTTCAACAAAATTAAAGAAAAGGGCAGAACAGTTTCTGCCTGGAAGTGAGGGGGTGGGGGGGGGAGAGGAAGGGGGCGGGGGAGAAACTTAGGGGGCAAAACAATGTTCTAAATGTCATAATGAAGGAACACAAAGAAAGGAGTACCACAATCTCCCATTTACATAGAAAATGTAAATTTTTAAATTTACATTTAGGAAATTTTAAATTTTCTTTTAACCATCTAGTTAAAACTACCCAGAAGTGTGGTAGTTGGATTTGAGTTACCTTTTTTTTGTTTGCTTTTTTTAAGGTTTCCCTTGGATCCTAAAAGAAGAAAAGAATGGGTTCGCCTGGTTAGGCGCAAAAATTTTGTACCAGGAAAACACACTTTTCTTTGTTCAAAACACTTTGAAGCCTCCTGTTTTGACCTAACAGGACAAACTCGACGACTTAAAATGGATGCTGTTCCAACCATTTTTGATTTTTGTACTCATATAAAGTCTATGGTAGGTGATGTTACTCTCCTTTTTAAAAAAAAAACCATTCAGTTTTAGAACCCATTACTTTTTGTTTATACATGGGAGCAATTCAAAATATGTTCAATTTATATATGATATGCCTCAAAAAAGTTGCAGATGTTCTCCTTGTGTAATAATGGAGCAGGAAAAAATTAGAACTCAGGTCTCCTGACTACAATATTCCTTCAATCCAAATTATTTTACCTTATAGATTGGACATTCTTACTCTGAAATTCAATTAAGCATGCTCAATTGGCTAAATCTCTGCAAATACTCCAAAATCTGAAATACTTCCAATTCCAGGCATTTTGAATAAGAGATACTCAACCTGTACTAGAATTCTACATAACTATATATTATTGTCAATAAAAGTACCACTGGTAAAACAGAAGAATAAGTCATGAAACCTCCAGTATCACTGTGCTCTGATTTTAAGATGACATACAAAGGCTGGGTGTGGTGGCTCAAGCCTGTAATCCTAGCTACTTGGGAGGCAGAGCTCCAGAGGATTGTATTTTGAGGCCGACCTGGGCAAAAAGTTTTCAAGACCCCATCTCAACAAATGGCCAGGCGCAGTGGTACACACCTGTCATCCTGGTTACATAGTGAAACACACATAAGAAAAATTGTGGTCCAGGCCAGCCTAGTCATAAAGTGAGACCCTGTCTCAAAACCAACATAAAAAGGGCTGGTACAGTGGCTTAACTGGTAAGAGTGCCTGCCTAGCAAGCGAGAGGCCCAGAGTTCAATCCAGACTACCACTGAGGGAAAAAAAAAAGGTGACATACAAATCACATGTGCTTAGTACTTGAAGAGCAACACACCCAGAGTTCTACCAAAAGATGTAATTTCAGGGCTGGTGGAATGGCTCAAGTGGTAGGGCACCTGCCTATTTTTTGACCTTGTACAGAACAACTATAATTGAATGGTGAGAACAACAGTGGCTTGAAGGATGAGGGGGGAAATTACCAAATCTTAACAAGTTATATTTTAAAGGAAGGAGAAAATTAGGGTACAAAATGAATGAATCACAACTTAGATTTTGGGTTTAGAGCCTAGAGATATATCTCAGTAGTAGAACGCTTACCCAGCATGCAGGAGGCATGGGTTTGATCCCTAGTACCACAAAAAAATAAAATTAAAAAAACTAACCTTTTATTTGCTTAGGGAAGAACTGATGAGAGAGGAAAAGCTAGCTGAGAAAGATGGGAGTTACCAAAAAGAAAGGGAGGGTAGAATGAACACAAATAGAGGGTTTGACTGTAAAAGGAGAACAAACAGATTTTCCTCTGAGAGAGAAAAAACTACTTGAGTCATTAGTGACATTTAAATTTGTAAATGTCTCCATCCCTGTCTGGATGGGAGAGGAGGTGGTAGTTTTCTACTATCACAGATACTAGAAATGCTCCCGAAGGGCAAGAATACTTTTCATTTCTGAATCCTCAACACTTCAACACTTCACCCAGTGCTTGGGATATAGTATGCACTCAGATATTTGTTGAATTTGAGATGTACCTTATTTCTGATATTTTGATTATTTGTTCACACAATAAATACTAAACTTTATGGTATGCCAGAATCTCAGAGGCTGGAGCAAAAGGGAGTCAGTCCCTGCCATTTATGCAGAGGGACCCACAATAAGTTTTATGAGTACAATAACTGTATTTGTCTTACTTGTTCACCATTACTTCCTCAAGAATTCATGGTATGTGTTTCAATAGTGGTGTTTTTTGTTTTGGGGGGTTTGGGGAGGATTGTTTTGAGGTAAGGTCTCGCTATGTGGCCCTGGCTTATCTTAAACCACTAACCTTGTACCTTGGCCTCCCAAGTGCTGGGACTGTGTACCACTACACTTGGCTAATTGTTTATTTAATGAATGAAAGGCACAGTGTTAGGAAGATAAGATATAATCTAAGTATTATAAATAAATGGTTTAATATTCCTGGAATATAATGAACAAAAGAGTGCATAAGTTTCTAATTTGGATAAAAAGTAGCCAGATTTTAAATCTTTGAAAATGTAACTGTGAACAATTAATAGGTAAATATCATTTGAAAGCTTGATACTTGATAATATGTTGCTATAGATACTTCAGTTTTTATGTAAGTAGACTCTAGGTATGACCTATTCATCAATGTGAGAGAATAATTAACTTTTTAAACAGGATCAAATCAATACCATAGATATACAATATGTCTAAATACATTCTAAATTGACCTTAGTAAGAAAGTTGCAAATATTTTTAAAGTCTCCATAGAATCATATTGAACGTTTGGAAGATATCTTGGAAGTCCAATGTTTATTTCCAAATCAATGTTTGAAAACCTGTGGAAAGGACAAAAGGAAGTAGGTGACTAAAGTTCATTCAACCTGTTCAGAAACTTAATCCATGCATACATGAGACAGCATGCTGTCATTTCCCATCAAACTTTTAAAATCAATTCTAAAAGAGTACTTTAAATAGTTATTCAAAACTGGACACTGTTTATTTATTTGTGATATTCCATAATTTATGTTCAACTCTCTAATTTATTCGGCTCAGAAACCAAGTCAAGGAATCTTTTGAAGAAAAACAACAGTTGTGCTCCTTCTGGACCATCTAACTTAAAGTCAAACATGAATAGTCATCAAGTACTACTTGAACACAGTTATGCCTTCAGGAACCCTATGGAGGCAAAAAAGAGGATCATTAAGCTGGAGAAAGAAATAGCAAACTTACGAAGAAAAATGAAAACTTGCCTACAAAAAGAACGCAGAGCAACTCGAAGATGGATGAAAGCCACATGCTTTGTGAAGAATTTAGAAGCAAATAACATGTTACCTAAGGGCACATCAGAACACATTTTACCAACTGCCTTCAGCAGTCTTCCTTTGGAAGACTTCAAGATTCTTGAAGAAGATCAACAAGACAAAACATTACCACTTCTCTAAATCTAAAACAGACCAAGAATATTCACATTCAAGGTTTTTTTTGCACAGAACTTGATGCCCATCCTGCATTATTTTCAGAGGTAAAGATATTTATGGCAATTATGCCAAAACTGAGTATTTAATAAAGTTTTACTTGATGTAGCATTATTACTGTATAATTTAATACCTGATTATAAAAAAAAGTAGAAACTTTTATTTCAGAATGAATGGAAGTGCCTTACATGAGGAATGTACTTAGAAGTTTTGCTAGGAAATATATATTTGCAAGGTGTTGTTGTTTTTGTCTTTTTAAACTACTGTTAAAGAACAACCTATGACCAGTAATATAATCTATATTAGAGAATTTTTTTTCCTGTACCAAAGTTAGGATACTACATTCTAAGTAAGATGCTAAGGATGAGTTTATCATATTAACTGTGACCTTAAAACTGCTGGATGTTGTATTTAGTTATTATTGGCACTGTGGTTTGAAAATTTATAAAACAAAATATGAGGTGCAGGGCAAGTTACTTTACTTAAACTTTTTTTTAACCAGTAAAAGTAACCGTATCATGGCCTCTTTTATAAGAATATTAGATTTTAAAATAAGTTATGAAATGTTTTGAAAACAGTATTTTTGAACGTGAAGGACCTTTTTTGAGTTATTTAAACTAGGTAAGCCTTCAAGTACCTCAGACTAGTAAAAACTGGGAATTGATTATACCCACCTTCTAAGAAAACATGTTGTGAAATATTGCAAGGTGCAGGATTTTTTTTTGATAATTAAAATATTATATTTCCAATTTCCAGTTTGGTAAATTAATAAGCTTATATACTAGACATATACTCCTTTGCTCCTGTGTGTGTTGATAGCAAAACTCTTCAGCTTTTTTTTAAACTACTTTCTAAATATAGTCTATATAGGTATAGTAGTTTTTTCTTCCCTCTTTATAAACCCATAGTAAAAGTTAATCAAGAAAAGTACTTACATAGTATATTTTCACAATTTACAACTTTCAGCTTGTTTTTTTTGTTTGTTTGGTTGATTGGTCTTTTTTTTTTTTTTTTGGCTGTCCTGTGCTTGTTAGGTAAGAGCTCCACCACTTGAGCCACACCCCCAGCCCTTTTTGTTTTTAGTTATTGTTCAGATAGGGTCTCATGTTTTTACCTGGGCCAGCATGGACCTCGATCCTCCTATTTATGCCTTCTGAACACCACCACACCCAGCCTATTGATTGAGATGGTGTCTCACTAACTTTTTTTTTTTTTTTTTGACTTGTACTGGTCTCAAATCATGATCTTCTTAGTTTCCTCTGGAGTAACTGGGATTACAACTGTGAACTACCACACCCAGCCACTGTCTTTTTTTTTTTTTCTTTTTACTGAGTCAAATAGAACAATCATAATACACAGGGGAAATAAAGCTCTTCTCTATGAAAAATACATGTATATCTTGTGGGGGAAACTATGCAAATGTTAATTACTTTATAAACTAGAAGTATCAGAACTAGTCTTATGGTTGCCACTTGAACAATTAAAGGGTCTGCCTTATTTCATCAGATGTTCCTTTCCTTTAAACCCTTTCCTTTAAAAAGCTTTGCTTAAATAATGTAAAAGTTATTAATAATTAAGTTGGGGCTGGTGAAGTGGCTCAGGTGGTAGAGTACCTGCCTAGCAAACATGAAGACCTGAATTCAAACACCAATGCCACCAAAAAAGTAAAATAAAAAATGCATAAATAATTGAGTTATTCTACTTCAAGCTTGTAATACTACTATATTAAAGTCATGTATACCTAATTATAAATTACTGTAAATCTTTTCTATGAACAAATGGGCTTTTGGTTTTGTTTTCTAGCCAACTGTTTGTATTATCTCTCTTATTTTCTTTTTCTTTCTCTTTTTTTTTTTTTTTTGGGTGGTATTACTGGAGTTTGAACTGAGGCTCTCACACTTGTTATGCAGGTACTCTACCACTTGAGCCACTCCACTCACCCTTTTTTTTGTGCTGGGTTTTTCCAGATGGGGTCTCATGAACTCTTCTGCCCAGGCTATCCTTGAGCCTCAGTCCTCCTGGTCTCAGCCTCCTTTGTAACTAGGATTACAGGCGTGAGCCACCAGTGCTCAGCTATCTCTGTCTTTTTAAATAACATTTGATTGGATGGTAACAATCTTATTACATTTTAGCACTCTTTTCTTTTTACTTTTTTTGGTGGGACTAGGGTTTGAAATCAAGGCTTCAAGCTTGCAATGCAGGTGCTCTACTGCCTGAACCATACCTCTAGCATTCTTTCTTTTTAATAAGTAATGTCTTCCATGCAAATGCAAAGGTAGGAGAAGTCTCATTTAGTTCTCATGAGGTACTTTCAAGTTCTTTTGCAGATAGTATATTTATCGTTAGTATTAGATGTAGTTCCTTGGAATTGTCACTGAATCTTTTTTGTAATATGATTTCAGATACCTTTATATAATCTCAAAAACTTGTCATACACTGACAATATCTACTATAACCAAAATAAGTTGGGCAGATAATCATTTTAACATAAACTATATTTTCCAAGTATAGACTGTCACATAGTTCGCCCCTCCACACTAAGTACCAAACAAAACACTATTAATAAAGCCCGGTTTCTGTCTACAGTGGTATGTTAATATTTTGGGGTTTTTTGTGTGTGTCAGTGTTGTTTTGAGTATGTGTTTTGTTTTGTTTTTTGAGACAGTGTCTCACTATGTAGTCCAGGGGCTGGGGCATGGCTCAGGTGGTAGAGCGCCTGCCTGGCAAGTGCAAGGCCCTGAGTTCAAACCCCAGAACCACCAAAAAAAAAAAAAATCAAAGTTCACTATGTAGTACAGCCTGGCAACCCTCCTGTCTCATTCTCCCAGGTGCTAGAATTACAGGTATGAATCACAACTCCCAGCACTAATATCTTAATACCTTAATATAATGTTTTTAAATCATAAAAATAAAACATTATAAAATACAAGCTTTTGGCAAATTTTGGCAAAGTTACTTAGTCTTCATTAGCTATTACTTGATACCATTACTACTCAGAAATTTTAATTTTCTGCATGAGTTTCGTTTTCCATGTTATTTTCATATTACTGCCCTGATAATATGCTCCATACCTTCCCTGCATAAAATTCTTTTATTAACATATATCTATGTACCTAACAACTAGCTTCATAGCATAGCTTCATAGCAGAGCAGGGCAGTATAATAGCTGTGATCCAACAGGAGGCAGAGGTATGAAGATCACAAGTTCCAGGCCAGCCTGGGCTACATAGTGAAACCCTATCTTTAGTAAAAACAAAACAAAACCTAGCTTCATTCATAGAGAAAAACCTAAAAGAAATCTCATGTTTTCAGTTTTCTGACAGACACTGTGAAACTAATCAAAATTACAACTTTTCCCCCAGCTGAACACAACCTAGATTCTTTGTTTACCCACTAACTGGCCACTAACTTGCACCCAAAAAAAGGTTAAATGTGACATGATTTTCTATGCTTAATTTGCTCAGTATCTTGAGAGAAACTATTTATAATACAGTTTGATAAACTGTAAAATAAATAGATGCAGAGGAGTACACTGGTGTATTGGAACTCAGTAAGAACATAAACTTTATACTCTTTTATAGTCAAGTGCTTTTCTTTTAAAATGAAACAGATTACTTCTTATAATGATTTACCAAAGGAGGTAACCAATAGGTGTTTAACCTGAATTTGAGTTGTAAGACATTTTTACTCTTTAAAATGAAAATGATAAAAATTTACAATAGTCTTTTTGCTAAAAGGAAAACATAGCTAAAATAAAACACATCAAACCCAAGTACTGGAGCTTATTTGAAATTTGATTATTTTGTACAAATTAAACTCTATTACTACAGATTTCTGAAATTACAGAACAGTTGGCACCCGTTTGTACAAACTTTCTGTATGATAGGTGGCATTTTCTCTTGATTTATACAAGAAGAAATCTTTGTTAATTTAACTTATTTATTCACTGAGACATTTACTCTGTGCCAGTTTGCACAAGAGGTAAAAATGCCTATGGTCTAGAACGTCCTAAAATGGAACAAAGGTCTCCTTCCAATCCCCTCTGCCCTCCACATTCTAATCCTTTAACATAAAAATCATGTTAGGATAAAATGTGTCTCAAAAAAACAAAAATAGGGCTGGGTGCTGGTTGCTCACATCTGTAATCCTAGCTAGTTAGGAGGCTGAGATTGGGAGGATCACCTTTTGAGGTCAGCTTGGGCAAACAGTTTGAGAGATGCCATCTCCAAAATAACCAGAGCAAAATGGACTGGAGGTGTGGCTCAAGTGATGGAGTGCCTGCTTTGCAAGTGTGAAGCCTGAGTTCAAACCCCAGTCCTACCAAAATAAACAAAAAAATAGGACAAAATTTATACATATGTAAAGGTAGTGCTTGAGGCCATTGTTGATCTTTCCCAGGTAGACTTTATAATGTTGTTTTATCTCATTTCTCAATTTTAGAATACGGGTAAATTTTAATTTAGGTATGATTTAGAATTGGTTCATCTTTATACCAGAAATAGGATTCTTTTGCTTTTTAAACATTTGGAACTTTCTAAGAATTAAGCATTTTGTAATGTATATTAAATAATTACATATTGTATTCACAAAATGTATTTGAACTATGTTGATATTAAAAACTTTTTCCAAGGAAATTACTGTTATGTCTATTATTTCCAAAATACATACATAAACATTTTTGTAAAAGTCCTTTTTAAAGGGTCCCTGATTTGACCCTTTAAATGTGTTTGGTAGAATTCCTTTTAACTTGAAGCAAATTGTATAACAAAGATATTTGAACCCTTGCTGGGTGCTGGTGGCCTCATGCCTGTAATCCTAGCTATTTGGAGGCATAAGTAAGGAGGATAGGTTCGAGTCAGCTCCCAGCAAATAGATCTCAAATTACCCAACAAAAAAGGGCTGGCAGAGTGGCTTAAGTGATAAAGCGCCTGCCTGTAAATATGAGGTCCTAAATTCAAACCCCAGTACTGCCAAAAAAAGATATTATGTGAACCCTTGAAGAGGAATTAGTTTCACAGGTGTTGGTTAAGTTATAGCTAAATGTTTATTTGCATAAAATGTACACATATCAATTATTTAAATGCTGTTTATACAATCTAGGCCAGTTATATGGAGGGCTATAAAAATTATACATGTCTTTCATGATGGTAATTTGAGGCTCACATAAAGATTTACTTAATGATATGATTATAAAAGCATTTTAATAACAAGGTGATTATTTTCTCAAAATATGTTAAGATTATTAAAATATTGTTATTTAATGCTTAAACTATCTTAACATATGCTGTACCTATTGGCATGAGCAACTAAAACCTAACAGATGCGATCTCTGTCCTCAAGAAAAAAAATTCTATTTGTTTATTCTCACCCTTACTGTTGCACATCCTCTCTTTAATGTCCTTTAAGAATGAGGTGAATCTAATACAACAAATCAGTCTTCAATTGCTGCCTAACCTTTGAAAAATTTGTGCTCCAAAAGTTACAAATGGTCTTTGAGTTTCATATCAAAAAATGATGTATGTGCCTATCTCACAGGAATTTTCAGTTTAAGAAGCTCTTTAGCAAATATTCCAAACCTTGTCTCTTAACTTGTCTCCATTCTCTTGAGCTTCCTATTTTCATCTTCTTCTTGATTCCCCAAACCTTTATCAACAGCCCTTTCTATGGCTTGGTCACTTAGCAAAGTTCTTGTTATCTTTTAAGTCCTACCTTAGATGTTTCCTCACTATTGTGTGACACCTTCCCTAAACCTGTGCTAAAGTGACTTTAGTGCTCTTTTCCTTCAGTCCTGTTTTATATATAATTTGGATAAAGTCATCATCTTATTACAGTGTGTGTACAAATGTGTTTTCATCTTCTACCTTTCTTCAAGGCAGAGACACTGTGTGTGTGTGTGTGTGTGTGTGTGTGTGAGCATGTGTGTGCTTTTTTGGGGGTGGTGCTGCTTTTGTTGTTACTGTTTTCCTTTCTTTCTGGCCCTTAAGAGTCTGACATGTACATGTTAGCACTCAAATATTAGCAGATTTCAGAAAATCTAACCACTCTTTTGCTTAGATTTAAAAGAATTGTACATAAAATCCCCTGGTATTTTCCTAGCAAACAGTACTTGGGATATCTTTTACAATGGCTGTTAAGTACCAAATGTCTACCCTAAAGAAATCAAAACTTCTTTATATCAAAGGAAACTTAAATAGGTGTTTATATTGTGAAATTTAAAGATTAGTACAACAATGAATTTCCAGCCTCTTCTATGATTGTAATACTAAGTGTCAAACTCATATTTTCCACAGACAAGGAATCTGTGGTAAAGAGAAAATTAACACTTGCAAAGACTTTAAATGTTCAAATTTCTTAACTTCTCAGAGCTTTTTTACTATCCTATGAGGATACAAAATTTTTCAACCTCAAATTCAATCTGAGGTATTTGGAAAGGAGGGGGGGTACTGGAGGATTGCAGATCTAATATCTTGAATACAATTTAGGAAAGGCTCAACTAGAAATCTCTGTTGCTAGAAAACGGCTTCTTATTAAAGTAAATAGAAAAATACTGTTGACTTTTTAAAATGGCAAAGTCTATAAAATTGACTGAAAAGTCATAAATTTCTTTAAAAAGTACATTTTAACTACATTAATTCTTCCCAAATTGTCTCAGTGTTGAGCTAAAATAGATTGTGTAGTTACTAAGCAGCAGAGTATTTTTTTCTTTTTTTTGCTCAATGGGATAAAAATCACAAAATGTCAAAGTACACCTCATTTGATGTACCAACTCATTTTAGTGTTACCAGCTCATCTGAAGGTTCATTTGCTCAATTCAAAACAGAAGTCACAAAGAGGCAAGTAATGCCATCTGAATGAGGGTTTACTGGGGCTTGTGTTTGAACACAAAAGGGTGACAGTATATGGAATAGGGTCCCTAGACTGCTCTGGGAGGACACAAGGACTACAGTTTACATGCACAAAAAGGCAGGCTTGCACAGTCAGCTGTTGCTGTTGCACACAATGCCAGGATTTCTGCATATATCAGGTCTTTGCTCTCAGCGCAAAGAAGTTGGCAGCAATCTACTCATGAGGATTGGGTTGTCTGCCCTGAGCTGTAAAGTTCCAGCATGTTGGCCTGCAAGGGTTGTGAGAAAGCTTGGGAGAGGAGGCAGTGGCTCCTGAGTCTAGTCATTGGCAGAAACATTTTTGAATTAGCCTGGGATAGGTAGGAATCCTTGGTGGGGAAATCAGGGCCCTCCCTGCTCTGATTCAGGTAGTATATTTTAATTTGACATAGGAAAAAAAAAAAAAAAAACGAAGAGAAATACTCATTTGAAGGGTCATTTCACTGGCACTATGATTTAATATGCAATTTTAGTCATACCTCATACCCATGAGAAAGAGAACATTATCCCTAGGAACTAACGAGCGATAGATAGCCTTGGTGGTGTTAGGAAAAGGCCTGTCAGTCACAGCTTCTTCCCGGTTTTCTTATACACACCAGCTGATGAGAAAAGGACATCACTGTGATGACGGTAAAAGACAAGATCAGTTCATAATTTTTTATAAACAGAGACAAAAACCATAGAAAACATTAGCTTTTATGATTAATAACTTTGCCCAATAGTCTGGTAACATTGAATTTGGCAAGGAAGTATGGTGAATTACAATTATTTACCTACGAAGTACAAACTGAAACAAAAGTAGGTATATAATGAATTTCTATAGAAGAACCATAAATGTATTTTGCCTAATAAGAAAAGGCCACTATTATTTAGTCCTATCTTACAGATTTGGATTTTAGTTAACTAATGAGATGTTCTACCAAAAGGAAAGGCAGTTAAGTTTTCCTGGTATAATATATATTGAAACTTAAAATAACGTGAATTTTTAAAAAGTAACTAGTTTTAGTGGGTTAAGTCACAATTATATACTGTGTCTAAAACGGCTTTCTCTCCCCTTTTACATTGTCAGCAATTAACGAAATATTCAGAAATATATTGTAATTACCAGTTATTAACCCAGGCAAACAAAAGTTAATTTCAAATAAAAAGTGCAATCAGCCACAAGACTCGGATTGTTAATCCTGACAGTTCTGCTTTGTAAATGATTTAACTGAATGCACACGTACCTTAAATATGAAGTGTGGGGACAGATATTTCCAGTGTAAAGTGGTGGGGTAACACTAATTAGAGAGGGTCAACAGCAGGAACTATGTGTAAGCTTTATCTTTCTATATCTAGCATCCAGCAGAGCCTGGCTCATTATAGGAACTAAACTGTTGTTTTAAATTACTTCCCAAGTCACTAAATTCCGTTTCCCTTCCCCCCCAAAATCTAACATTTGACATGAACTCTTCATAGATTGAAAAACATTTGAATAATACGCCTGAAATAAACTTACTGGCTCTAACTTCAGTTGCATTTCCTTATTTCATTACTACCCAGCAGGTTCGAGTGCCCCCACGCCACCCCTGTGGGGGTGGTTTCAGTTCAAGGGTCTAGGATGCCCCAAATTCAAGGACCTAAGTCTCCACGCATCGGTATTCGGAAGAACAGTGCCTCGGCCTCCCTGCTTTCCCTTTAAATGCTCGGGAGACCGAGACGGCACGGCGGCGCATGCGCACAGAGAACTAGCCGCGACCGGAAGCGGCCCGGACTGAGCTCCACGGTACTCAACCCTGGCCAGCTGGATTTGGACCCCAGGGCGACGCTGGCCTCCGTGGGAACTTGACCGTGGTCGGCGGCGCCAGGCTCGCTGCCCAGACAGCCCCAGGTTGGACCGCCCCACCGGGCTGCCGACCTGTCCACTCGGCATGTGGGAGGGCGGTGGGGGCGGGGCTCGGCGGCCCGGGACCGCTGATTGGCCGCCGCGGCCTTTCCCTTCCCTTTTCTGGTCTCCCAGCCCAGGTGCGAGCCGACCTCCCGCCTGCCCTGCAGCCTCCACCTGTGCGCTGGGCAGGTTATAACTTCGCCCGCATCCGTTGAAGCACCAGCTGCCATTTCGGGAAGGAGTTTGGGTTTGTAATTTTTTTTTTTTTTGGTTTTTTTGGATTGGTCGGTGGAAGATGTTTTTTATGTTTGCTTTTATGTTATGGATTCATGTTTGCAGCTAAACGAGCGTTTTGCAGGCAACTTTTCTCTCCGAAAAGCTATCTTTTGTTCTCCCTCAGGTGCTCATAGCCTTACTGCCCATGACAGATTTTGACGATAATATTTGCAAAAGATACTTAAGTATGATTACTAACATAGTAATATTGAGCCTCATCATATGCATATCCTTAGTCCTCTGGATTGTGTCGATGACTGCTGGCACCTACTATGGTAAGTCGCAACGCTTTCAACTGCTTTTCTGTCATCTAATAGGCAGAATTTAAAACTACCATGTAAAATCCTAATTTATATCCTGTGAATGTTTGCCTTAACTTACAGGGCCTGACTGTACCAATGTGATCATATAAAGTGCCTTCAACGTCTTAAAGAATTTAGTAAATGCTTGCTGTGATACCAGTTATATTACTTTGAGACATTGTCTCAAAATGTCTTTGTTTCACATAATTATTTCATCTGTCTTGGTGAAAAATGATATAAACAGTTTTGTGAAGTAATTTCTGTTATGCTTTTAATTTTGAACAGGAATATTAGTCATGTGGTCTATCAGTTTCATGTTTCTTATAAAAATAATGAACATTAAAGACTGCATAGGTTTATATTTGGAGATTTGAGGGATTTGTTTGCTGTTTAATCACTTCAAAAGAATACACTCCAGGGTTGGGACTATAGCTCAATGGTAGAGTACTTGCTCTGATTTTATATCCAGAACCTTAAAAAAAAAGTGCAAATGACTTATCTTAAAACTTGAAGCGACTTTGCATAAATATAAAATATTATGGAGTCAGAACTTTAAGGTTTTTTCTTTTGTTCTGCACATTATTAATTGTACAAGATAATAGGTTTCATTGTGACATTTTATTAGATGTATATTGCACACCTTGATCATATGATAATTTTAAGGTTTTTGGGACAGGGCAGTGCTGAGGATTGAATCCAGGGCCCAAGTATGCTGGGTAAGTGCTCTACCTCCTAGCTAAGTCCCCAGCCCTTATTCTTTGAGACAAGGTTTTGCTATGTAGGCTAGCCTTAAACTTGGTATGTAACCCAGGCTGGCCTTAAATTTATAATCTTCCTGCCTCAGCCTCCCAAGTGCTGGGATTACAGATGTGGACAACCACACCCTGTGAGATCTTTAAAGTTTTGAAACTGCCCCAGAGCATGTCTATACACAAACTTCCTTCATGTTCGTATGAAAAACAGAATGCTGGTCAGTTCATAATGAAGGGAAAATTGTAAAGGAAAGTGAGAAAGTGAACTGTTACAAATGGCTATATGGTAGGTAATGGCCATTTCAGAATTTAGTCTTTTTGCAAAAAGGCATATGAATAGTCAGCTAGGTGTTCTCCAAGGTACGGAAGCTCTCAGGGCAGTTCATTCATAATAATGCATACAACAAGGGATCAGGATTGGAAGGGAGGAAAATGAGAAAACTCTTATCTAACAAAATAGAATAAAGGAGAATTTCTAAATTGAAATACCCCTAGGGCCAGGCACGTAATGGAAATGAATGTACCTATTCAGGTTTTTGCTTATTAGACGTAGGCAAAAGTTTTCACTTCTAAAAACAGGATTTTTTTGTTGATCCCTTGGTCTTCTTTGTCTTTTATTTTCATATTTTTGGTAGAAACACAGTTCATGTTTTCCTCTACCATAAAGAAGTCAATTAAGCTGGGTACAGTAGCTGAAGCCTGTAATCCTAGCTATTTGGGAGGCTGAGATTTGGATCAAGATTCAAGACCAGCCAAGGCAAAAAAATTTCACAAGACCCCATCTCACGAGAAAAAGCTGGACATGGTGGTGCACACCTATCATCCTAGCTGCTGCAGGAAGTGTAAAATAGGGGGATCACTGATCACTGTCCTGGTCAACCAGAGCAAAAAGTGAGACCCTATATTCAAAATAACCAGACCAAAAAGGACTAGAGACAAGGCTCAATCAGTTGAATGCCTGTCTAGCAAGGTCTGAGTTCAAACAAGTGTACTGCCAAGAAAAAAAAAAAAAAAAAGAAAGAAAGCCTAAGTGATTCAGCCTAAGTGATTAGGAGTCTATCAGGAGCAGTGGAAACTTTCAGTGGGAGAGCCAAAGGAGGCGGCCAATTCTGCCATATGGGCCAAAGCTTCCAACTTTTGCAGTTTTTTTTTTTTCTTGTGGTAGTGGGATTTGAACTCAGGAACTCATACTTGGTAGGCAGGCACTCTACCACTTGGGCCATGTTCGCAGCCCTAAATGTCTAGCTTTATGTTTTTGTTGCTGTTGTTGGCACTGGGGTTTGAACTCAGGGCCTCAAGCTTGCTAGGCAGGCAATTGCTTGGCAGGCAATTTTACTGCTTAAACCACTCCGCCAGCCCAACTTCCAGCTTTTAAACAGAAGTCAGTAATCAGAATATTTATGAGACCTCCTAATCTTTAAATAGTGACTCAAATTGTTTAAACACACTATGCTAACCAAACAAAACATCTGTGAACTGGATGGATGCAACCTTTGGAAAAGAATCAGTTTCTAACCATTGAATCAGATTTGTAGCCTGTCAGAATGTTACTTGTTTAAAATAATCTCTGCAAGGAAGAGAGGAATAATTAAATCCTTTAAGAGTTTGTCTGAGATTTAATACATGCCTCCTTTTAAAAACAGCATATTCATGTTTGAGATATTCATTATCATAAATAGCTGTAAATGATTCTCAAAAACCTGAGTATAACACAGTTAGTGGTCCCCCAGTAAGACTGTCTCTCTGACAATTCAAATGTCAACGTAAATATTCAGTTACTCAACTTTTTTGTTTTTTTGTTTGGTGGGATTAGTGTTTGAACTCAAGGCTTCATAATCTCAAAGCAGATTATCTACTGCTTGAGCCACACCTTCAGTCCATTTTGATCTGGTTATTTTGGCAATGGGGTCTCACAAAGTATTTGCCTGGACACACTGGCCTCGAACTTGTTGATCCTCCCAAATGGCTACCGATCCACGAGCACCCATCTGTACCTATGACAGTGTTTTAATCCAGAAGGCACTTAATCAAAGCTTAAGGCAAGAGTAACCTGTATAGACTTCACAAAACTTGTGCTCTACCTTTTAATTTTTCAGGTAACTTACGGCCTATTTCTCCTTGGCGTTGGTTGTTTTCTGTTGTTGTTCCTGTTTTGATCTCCTCTAATGGCTTTAAAAAGAAAAGTCTAGATCACAGTGGGGCCTTGGGAGGTACGTTTTTGTTGTGAATGTTTAAAGTATATTGCAAGTATTTGCATATGTAATTGAAACTCATGTTTTCTGAATTTTGAATATGTGAGACTATAGATCTTAATGTTACATCTTAGGCAATGCTAAAGCTGTATATTGCTCAGTATTCCTACTCTGTCAGGAACAAACATATACTTTTAGTGTAACATACAAATTTAACTTTGTAATTGGTATAAAGTAGATTACTAGGATAAACTTTGAGAACCTCAACTATTCTGCAACATTAGGTGGATTAACTATAGTCTCTTGCTAGCCAAATTACTGGAACTTTCCTTCTAGTTGTAAAAATGGAAGAGCAATTAGAAAAAATAACTCTTAGAAATTTCAATTAGTAACATTAAGCAGAGCAGTTCAAACCCAGTGTTATACATTATTATTTCAGAACTGAGTCAAGGACAGACCTTTTTTTTTTTCATTCTTTTAGCAAATATTTTTTGAACACTTACTAATGTGCACCACTGTTGTAGAAACCAGGGTTATAGCTGTGAACAAAGACAAGATTTTAGTTCTCAAATGATTTTTTTTAGGACAAGGTCTCACTATGTGGCCCAGGTTGGCCTTTAACTCACCATCCTCCTGCTTCAGCCTCCTAGGAACTTTGAATAATAGGTAAATAAAATCTATAAAACTCTTCAGTTAATGATAAAGTTTATGAGAAAAATCAAAATATAAAATGGGTGTGTTGGAAGATGTGGGACTTTCTTCTCTAGATAAGAGTCAGAAGCTTTTTCTCTAAGGAGATAATTTGGAGCTGAGACCTGAAGAAGCCAGCAATGAGAAGGTCTGAGATAAGTGTGTTCCAGGCTGACAGAAGAACAAGTGCGTAAGCCCTGGCATATTTAGGTCTAGCTTGTTCAAGAGTGAGGAGAAGGCTCTTTTGATTGAAAAATAGTCAAAGAAGGGAAAGTAGTGAGAGATAAATTTGAAGAAATAAATAAGAGCCAGGTTATATGGGGACTGGTAGACCACAGAAAATATTTTATTCCAAAGTGGCTGTGATTCTTTGCCTCAAATTAGAGGAGTGACATCATCAGATTTGACATGGGAACCTTCATATCCTATCAGTGCTAAAAGTACCAAGGCATGAGGCGTCCTTCTAAATACTTCCTGTAGGATGAGATTATTACAGAACTAGCAGTCGTTGAAATCATCTACCCAGCATTCATAATGCAACTGACCTTTAGCCCCTATTGTACTGTAATTATATTCTGTCTTGTCTATATTGATGTACAGAAGATATTTCTCATAAAGTTTTATAAAGTGAAATAGACCTTCATAGAGGAAAAATAGTGTTACTGATAAAAGAACAAGTGTTAGAATCAGGCAGGATTAATTTGAATAGTAATTATAGCTTTGGGAAAGTCACATCACCTCTCTGTGCCTCAGTTTTCATGTCAGAAAAATGGGGTTTTCAATATTTGACTTAGAAAATGATGTAACATGAAATGAATGTTAATGAGACTTAAACTTTTAAGACACCACACTTGCAAAGGTACCTTCCAAGACCTTGGGAAGAGCCTTACCAATGTGCTCCCATGGTCCTATATTTTGTAACTTTTGAAAGTCAAAAGATATTTTTTGTTTGGTTGGTTTGGTTTGGTTTTTGGCACCAGTAAGTTTTTAGCTCACTAGACACATTAGCCAGCATTTATTGAATGCTAGTTACTATTACTAGGCAAAATTCTTCAAAATCATGCTAATTCCCTTTATAATTAAAAAACATTGCTCAAATTCTGTTGAATGCTTTCTTTCTGTAGGGATTGTTGAGAATTAAAATTAACTAGATGTATTGACATGTTTATATAAGTTTTCTTACTATATAATCAATAAGTATTAGAAATACTATGTATTGGTTAACAAATGCTTATGCAGACTTACTATTTACCATGCACCCTTCTTGGCACTTTGGAAGTATTAACTCACATAATGAATAATTTGAATAGCTCTCTTTGAATATAATAGCGTAAGAGTTATGATCTACTTAACAAAATGTCCTGTCTCAGGTTTCCTTGCTTTCCTGTTTATTGCCCTATAACAAAAAAAAGGTGACGTCGTTCTTGAAGTTTTTCTCTTCCTTTGGCTTTCATGCTATGAATTGTCAAGGTTTCTCATTTTTTCTCTTCTCTACTTTTATTTTCTCCTGCTACTATATCTTCCTGACTTCTAACCCTTGGGCATCTACTTTTTTTTATTGTTTGTTTGTTTTGTGGTGCTGGGGTTTGAACTCAGGGTCTCACACTTGCTAGGCAGGTCCTCTACCACTTGAACCACTCTGCAAGCTCTCTACTTCTCTTCTACCTATCTTGATTTCTACTTAAAAGATACGTAATACTGAATGCAGGTGGCTCATGCCTGTAATCCTAGCTACTCAGGAGGCAGAGATCACTAGGATTGCGGTTCAAAGCCAGCCTGGACAAATAGTTTGTGAGACCCTATCTCAAAAATACCCAACATGAAAAAGGACTGGCAGAGTGGCTCAAGTGGTAGAACACCTGCCTAGCAAGTGTGAAGTCCTGAGTTCAAACCCTAGCACTGCCTAAAATAAATAAAATTAAATTAAAATTAACATAATAAAATATATATTCAAAGCGTTGTACTGCCACCTGTAATTGGTGTAAACTTTGGCAAGTCTCGTAATTCATGGGAATCTCTCTTCATATCTTATGAAATTGTCCCAAGAGGAATATTTGGGAGTACTTTTGGTGAGACTCAAACAAGATATTGTGAGACTTATACATCTTCATGATCTATAAAATGTACTTTTCTCAGGTTTCCTTGCTTTATAGACATTTACTGTATAGGATTAATTACCTACTTTCAACCATATTTTTATATGAATCACTATTAATTTGGCATTGCCACAAATATATTTTCTTCCTATTTCTACTCATTGTTTCCCTGATCCTTCTTCATTATATATACTTACTACCACCTACATTAACGGCAAAGTATATAGAGAATTGAAGGACAGTGAGAGACTTCTAGGGGAAAACCAATAAAAGCTGAAGAAAACTGAAATTGACTCTCCTAAAGATTAAATGAAGCATTCCCACTTAGGAAGTTTGCATGGTTCTTAGGACCTAATGAGTTACTCACATTGAATAGGATTCAAACTTGATAAAGTCATTACTTTGCTGCCATCCCTACTAGATGGAAGTTATCAAATGCAGTAGATGGAAACATGTGGTTAACTTTCCTCTCAGTAGTAACTAATATTTCTAAAGTCAAGTAGCAAAAATATAATATGTTTCTAAAAAGTATCCTGGTACTGTAATGTGCTACTTGATCTGCTTGAGAATAAAGAATACCTATTAGATTAACTCTTTGAGGACTAAGAGTATATCTTATGCTTCTGTGTTCCATTTTTTTGAATAATGATAAACACAAAACAGATGATGTAGGAAATATATATACCTTCATTTAAAAGCCTTGGCTCTTTTCCTAATCATTTCATTCCATGAAATGTTATTGTTTAGGACTTTTCTTTCTTGAAGGCTAAAAAAAAATGTAATGCACTGATCCAAAATATATCATAATAGTTGTGACTACTTTCCTAGAGTGTGACTATAAGTCATTTAAACTTTCAGTGTTGTATTTTTCCCATCTGTACAATGAGAAGAAATAATGTATCTATAGCATTGAATTATGAGGAGTTATTAATGTAACCTAGTGTAAGTAAAGTGTGTGTTTTATAAATGTGAGTTATTGTTATTACTTTCCTTTCACCACTACTACTCACAGTCATGAGGAATTTCACTAAGGTTTGCTATATTATGTTTTTAATGTATTTGGGATTGATTGAAAAATAAGAGTTACATAACTTTCTTGACCATCCAATTACTCAGAGCACTTCATGACACAGGAACATATACGTCTGTGTTGACAGCATGGGGGAGGAGATAAGGCAGTGCTTGAGGTACAGCACTGAAGTAGAAGACCTGTTTCCTGGAGAGAGAATATTCCCAGAATAAGGAGAGTCACACTAGGGGATGCGTGGGAAAGTGTTTGCCAACTGCAAAGTACTGTGCAGATAATTTACTCAAAGGGGGTATTATCTACTTATTATTAGTACAACATAGTTGGTGCCAGTAAATTATCTACTCATTATTAATATAACATAGTTTTGGCCAGGTGCTGGTAGTCTTCACTCCTATAATCCTAGCTACCCAGAAGACAGAAATCAGAATTGCAGTTCAAAGCCAATCCCGGGTAAATAGTTCTTGAGATCCTATCTCAAAAAAACTAATCACAAAAAAAGTACTGGCAGAGTGACTCAAGTGATAGAGTACCTGCCTAGCAAGTATGAGACCCTGAGTTCAAACCTCAGTACTGTCAAAAAAATTATATATATATATATTTTTTTTTTTTGCAAACATGGACATTTTGTTATTAGACCTTGACTTGGCAAGTTTAAATTTAATTTCATTTGCCCAAACAATTATGCTTAATGACTTAACTATTTTTTTCATTAATTTTCAATAAATATTTAGTGAGGGTCCATCGGTGCTAGGCATTGTTCTGGGTATTTCGGATTCTAACATGAATAAAATGTCTTAAAATCCTACTGTCATAGAGCTTACATTTCTCATCAGGGGAGACAGATAATAAATAAGATAGGTTTCATTCCATCTGATCCCCTTCTAGAAAGAGATGCTATAAGGGTAAGTGATATGCACAGCAAGGTGAGGCATCTGGAGAAGCCAGTGACGATCTTTATATGGTCTCACAAGCGTGGCCTTACCTATTTGTAATCACTGTGCTTCTGGTCTGGTGTTCAGTTTTTCTAAAGTAGAAGGCCTCACTCTGTTAGGTACCTAGAATGGATCAGAGCCAACAAAATTAAGTGAGTGTTGCTCATTGTCATCAGGGATTAATATATGGTCCAGAATGCTACTTTATTAATCTTATAGATGTAGAACTACCAGGCTGACTGGAATATGTTCAGACATGCCCTTTTTCTTGTACTCAGGCCATGTGAGAAGTCATATTATAATTAAAAAGTTGCTTGGGTAAGTACAAAGTCTGAGAAACAATAATGTAAATCTATAGGCCTTGGGCGAAATTGAACAAATGTGCTAACCTCTGTTTCTTCTTCACTTTCCACATTTGAAGTTAACCAGCCTTCTTTTGATTCTCACAGTTTTTCTATAGGCAGATTGTGTATGAAACAGATTAGATTTCAGTTTATTAAATTACTATGAAATTCTAGTCCTGCCTTTCCTTTTTTTACCTCCCAGAGATTACTCTGGTCACCTTGGTTGGAATTTGAGGTGCTAGTGTGCTTCCCACTGTCAGATACTGGTAAAAACAGTGTTGTTTTACTCCTTCAGATGACATCTTTTTGGTTCAGAATTTACCTGTTTGGAGCTCAGAAAGAAGGCAATCATAATCCTCTGTCTTCAAGTTCTTTTGAGCATTCTGTCATCATATAAATGAATGCCTTATCAGTGTTAATTACAGATTAATGATGTGGGGTGGGGAGGTGGAACCTAAAAACAAATAGGCGATAGAAGTTACTAATCTAAAAATTCAGACATAGGTGGTCTTTCCAAAAATTCCAAGAGATTTTTAAACTGCATGAAAGAAACCATTCCTTTATGCATGTTGTGTTAAATTTTTTCCTCAATCTGAACCTATCATCACCAAGAACATTGATCACCTCATGTAATATTTTAAGATGGCTGAAATAAAGAAAAGAGATAAATGCATATTGTAGCATCTGTGTAGGTTGTTTTAGGGACATTCAACTTTGGATTTGTTTAAAGAGAGTGGAATTAATTGTTGACAGTGACTCCTTGTGAAGGAGGATGGGGTGACTTACTTTTTATACTATCAGATGTTTTGCTTTCCTTTCAAATGGCCATGCATACTTTTGTAATGTTTGAAAAAGCAACTGATGACTGAAAGATGTGGCTCAGTGGTAGAGTGCTTGCTTACGTGTAAGGCCCCGGGATTGATGCTCAGCACCATGAAAACAAATGAGTGAACAAAAATCAGTTGAAAACCTTAATGGTTGGATAACAGTAACACAGTATTTATCATTGTTTTTGTTGACCTTTTGCCAAAGAAACTGTTGGTGACATTGTTGCCACTGATGTTAGCTATCATTTATTAAGGGCCTCCTATATCCTGGGTAATATGATAAGCATTTTGTAAAAATTATCTCCAACTTTTCACACCAAGCTAGTGAGGTCAGAATTATTAACTCTTCATTTCACCAGTATGAAATTGAGGTGTAAGGAGTTTAGGTTCCTTCTCCTAGTCACACAGAGGCAAGTGGAAGAGCCAAAGTTCAACTCCAAGGCTAATGTGCTTTATTATTGTTTTATACCAAGGTACCCTATTTCTTATACTCTCAATTAAAATGCATTAAAGCACAAGTAAAATGCCAGTAATTGAGTGTCTCTGCACCAATCAATGAATAACTGAACTAAGCAATAGAAAGGGTGGTTATAAAATCAGAACCTGGTTTGCTGTTTTATTGTTTAATAGAATATTATTTATTTAATACTTCTTTATTAAATATATTTATTATTAAATTTCTATTTTAACTCTATTATTTAATACCTGTTCTGTTATATAATGAAATAGATTTAACATTTAATAAAACTGAATATATTTAACTTAAGAGTTACAGAGAACAGAAATTGTCAACTGTAGGCAGAGATGGAGCAGTTTGTGGTAAGAAATAAAATAGAAAAGCATGTGCAGCATGCTTGAGGCCCTAGGTTCAATCTCCAATCCCAAAAAATAAAAAATAAAAAATATTGACAGATAGACAACACACAGCCTGGAGTAATAGTACTCCATGTGGTTGTCACATTCTGGGACAATGGTCCCCAACTTGACAGACTAGAAGTTAGATTTTTGTCAGACCTCTGAACATAAGCTTTCTCAAGTTGAGACTCAAATCAGCCAAACTTGTAGGAGACAGATTTACAAAGCAGAATGTCAATTTCTTGGTGTTCATTGGCACATTAACACATTCTCTCCCTGAAAGAAGGACTATAAAATTATCAAAAGTTGGCCTAGAAGGTCAGAAGAACATACAGAAAATGCTATGTGTTTTGGGTAAGGAAGAAAATTTAAAGACATGTATAAAGACATGCTTGTCTTTATAAAAAGAAACACAGAATGATAATTAATACCATACAAATAAGGAAGCACAAGAAGGGAAATAGTGGCACTTGGTTACAAAGACTGGAGGAAGAGCACAAGTTGGAGGGGCAAAAGTGATATTGGAGGAAGTAACATTTCTTTAAGTATACCTTTTTGGTTAAGTTTGACTTTTGGAAGCATGTTAATATTATACATATTTACAAAGTAAAACTGTATCAGTGAGATGGGAAGTGGGAGAAATCTAAAAGTGGAAGTAGTCTAAAATGAACTCAGTTCATTGGTGGAGTGGCTCAAGTGGTAGAGCACCTGCCTAGCAAGCATAAGGCTCTGAGTTCAAACCCCAGTACTTCCAAAAAAAAAAAATTAACTTTAGAATTTAACTGTATCTTCACACATGGGTTGAATAAAGGGAAAATTACAAAGCTTCTCAGAGAAGTGGTTGCTTTCACAGCTGGGGTAGGATAGGTTTGGGATGAGCCTAAAACACTTTTTATGCCAGAAAGAAAGTAAATACTTTCTTTTAAAGTCCTGCCTTTAAAAAACAGCCAACTTTCTGCTGGCCAAATCTGGGATAATTTGAGCCCCAAGAATTTACAGTAATATATCATAAGCTATTAGACAGAATGGAAATTCATGAGTCCACACTGAAAATAGATTTTTTTATTAGGGAAGAAGGAGGGATCTTGCTTGCATTAGAATGCTGAGAGCTGATTGGAAAATGTAGAGGGAGTACTGAAATTGGAAGATCACCACTGCAACCATCATTTTAAAGACTGGGTCAGGCAAAATCATAAATAGGTAATAAAATACATAATTGATAAAGAGCAGTATTGGCAAAGTTTTAAAATGTTTCCCACAGATAGCATTTTATTCTAAAGGAAAAGAGGATAATTAAATAGATAAAAGCTATACCACTGAGCTACATCCCCACTCCTAAACCCTCTTTGTTATACGCCCACAGCAAGTTCTTTAAATCCAAAGCATGTTCAACTAATTTAGCTATTGAGTTCAATGGCATCTTTTCTTATTGTTGTGATATCAAGAGTGTATCTTAAACTGGGTGACATGGCTCAAATCTGTAATCCTAGCTATTTGACTGAGATTGGAAGGATTACCATTGTAAGACCCCAACCAATAGCTGAGCACAGTGGTAGGTGCTGTTCCAGCTACACAGGAGGCATTAATAGGAGGATCACCACCATGGCAGAAAGCAAGACCCTATCTCCAAAATAACCAGAGCAAAAAAGGGCTGAAGGCCTGGCTCAGGTGTTAGAGTGTCTGCCTATTAAGCTTAAGGCCCTGAGTTCAATCCCCAGTACTGCCAAAAAAAAAAAAAAAAAAAAAAGTACATCTTTTCTTTGTTTTTCTTTTTCCTCTTGTATATCGTGAATTATAAGATTCCATCTTTATTTTCCTGATTGAGCTACAGGAAATAAGCCTTCCTGGAAATTGGTCACCCTTCAAAAAATGAAGGGCTGCCTCCTTTTGCTTGCCTAAACAAAATGTAAAAAGAGAAAAGTCTAAATATCCAAAATCAGTCCAGAACACATTTAATTTTTAGTTTTTCATTGAATTAAGATTACTTTCATGGATTTACACAGGAAAATTTATCGAAGAATAACTGTCTTTACCCTTCGACTATAGTTTATGAAGCTGAGCAAGAGCGCATATGTAATTCTTTGAAAAACATAAAAAGCTTGTCTTCTTTTGAATTTCTTTTGTAAAGTAAAAAAAAAAAAATCTGCACTATAGGGCAACAGTTATGTGAACTTGTGAAACTACAATCTCACCTCCTCAGAGAAAGCAACAGTTACCTAGAAAATTCTTCAGATTAGCCTTCTATTCAAACTGTGAGCATAATGTATACAATATATATTGTTTAATAATAATGAAATCATTACTATTCATTTTGTTTGGTAACTTGATTATAAAAAGTTTTAAATCATACATAGCATTGTTTAAAAGGGGATAAAAATTTTAAAGTTTTGATCAATTTTGTTAAAGTGACATTTAGTTTACTGCTTGGTAATAACTTGGTGAAATGCAAATGTATTGGAAATGTGCGTTCAAGTTACAATGTGAAAATAACAGGGAAAATCCAATTTTTTCATAGCATTAATGTATGGATTAAGTATAATTCTATGTTTATGTATGTTTCTTTCAGGGCTAGTGGTTGGATTTATCATAACCAATTGCAAATTTCAGCTTTTTTACCTCTTTGCTGATGTTTTTCATTTCTTCTTCGATACTTACTAAATGGAAGGGAGAAATAAAGAAGCGTCAAGATTCAGAATATAAAGAAGGTAAAATTACATTTGACATTGCTCAAAGGAGCAAACTTTGTTTCATCCTAACATAGGTTTTGTCAGAACATATTGTTTAGATAGTAAAGCAGATAAATTTTATTTGAGAATTGCTTTAATAGCCTAATTTAACTTATCATTTATTTTACGATAGGAAATAACAGCAGAATGTTAGAAGTACAAGAGCCTATCAATTATTCTAGATCTATTAATAATAGTGTAGTGTGTGGGCAGAGATGCTATACCACTTTTAGTCTTTTTAAAAAACTTAGTCAACTTTCTTTACTTAGATTTTAAAATATAAGTTTCTATTACTGCATGACTTTCCTTCTGAGAAGAAAACATTTTTTGTCCTTTTCATCTGCTTCTTTGTTTCTAGGAGGGCAAAGGAATTGGGTCCAGGTGTTCTGTAATGGAGCTGTGCCCACAGAGCTAGCCCTGTTGTACATGATAGAAAACGGCCCTGGAGAAATACCAATTGATTTTTCCAGGCAACACACCGCTTCCTGGATGTGTTTGTCTCTCTTGGCCTCCCTGGCCTGCTCTGCTGGAGATACCTGGGCTTCAGAAGTTGGCACAATTCTGAGTAAAAGCCCGCCAAGGCTGATAACAACTTGGGAGAAGGTTCCAGTTGGTGAGTCTTGCTTTGAGTTTCCTAAAAAAACAAAAACAAGGGGAAGGGAAGATAAAGGAGAATGACAGAGGGAGTGAATTTAACTAAGATATACTGTAAGTAATTTTGTAAATGTCATAATGTACTCCACATATGATAGTAAAATTAAAACAAATAAAAAATACCTCTTAAATAAATGCATTTCTTATTTAAGAACCTTTTAAGAGTTGAATTTGATCTCCTTAATTGGAAAATTACCATAGGCTATTAAGTTGGTGATAAATATTTGCAGAAACTGTGAACAAGATACAGATAAACAATACAAGAATACAGAGATTGACCCATAAGTTTACCAATGGGGAAGGAAGACATAGGGAACAACAGAGCATTTAGTGCTTTTAACATACACTCCAGTTCTCCAAATCTGTAGATTCAACCAGGGGATTAAACTGTTGATTCAGCTGTAGATTTAAAATGTTTAAAGAGCCTGATGCTGGTGACTCATGCCTATAATCCCAGCTACTGGAGACAGAGATCAGGAGAATCATAGTTCGAGTCCAGCTTGGGTAAACAGTTCATAAGATCCTATCTTTAAAATACCCAATACAAAAAAGGACTGGTATAGTGGGTCAAGTGGTAGAGTACCTGCCTAGCAAGCATGAGGCCCTTGGTCCAAACTCCAATAAAATGTCTAAAGAAACCAGGTGTGGTGGTTTACTCCTGTAATCCTAGCACTCAGGAGGTGGAGGGAGGACGATCACTAGTATGATAGGTAGCCCAGGCTAGCCTCAACTCACCTTGTAGTCCAGGCTGACCTCGAACTTGTGATGGTCTTCCCTTAGCCTCTCAAAAGCTGGGATTATAGGCATGAACCACCACTCCCAGTGAATTTATTTGTTCTGTTATTATGTGTTCTATTATTGTTTTCATCTTACAAATAAAGAAATTAAGGCACAGAGAAGAAGCAGTTTGGCTTACTGCTTAGCATATCAGAAATTATTGAAGAGAAAAGACTATTTTGTAAGTAGACTATTGAGACTGCATTATAGAGACCTTTTTTTTTTTAGAGCTGGTGATTAAAAACCAGGGCCTTGTGCTAAGCAAATGCTATACCCCTGAGCTATATCCGTAGCCCCAGAGATCTTTTTTCTTACAGGTATCATGTGACCTCATTTATATGTGATCTCATAAAATAGTCAATGTTATAGAAGTAGAGGGTAGAATGGTAGTTACGAGAGGCTGGGGAGAGTAGGGAAGAGAGAAATATGGGGAAAGCTTGACTAATGGGGACTATACTTAGACAAGAGCAAGAAATTCTGGTGTTACATTGTGTAGTAGAAATAACAATAGTGTACTGTATAGCTTTTAAAAGCTAGAAGAAAGGATTTTGAATGTTTTCCCCATTAATTTTTTTTTGTGGAGATAGATAGGTTTAGAGAGCACTTTTCTTTAAATTAGTCTTAATTAGATAGATACCAAATATTTTTGTTTTCTTTGACTTTATTAGTTTGCTGGTCATTAATCACGTTTCTTTTTCAGGTACCAATGGAGGCGTTACAATGGTGGGATTTGCTTGCAGTCTCCTGGGTGGTACCTTTGTGGGCATCACATACTACCTCACACAGTTGGTTTTTGTGAATGATTTAGACATTTCCGCTCCCCAGTGGCCCATTATTGCATTTGGGGGTCTAGCTGGATTACTGGGATCAGTTGTGGACTCATATTTAGGGGCAACAATGCAATTTACTGGTAAGAACATTACCTTTTTATTGCAACTTAACAGGTTTTTTAAAGAAATGTGAAAGCCAGGTGCCAGTGACTCACACCTATAATCTTAGCTATTTGAGTGATTGAGATCTGGAGGATCAGGTTCGAGGTAAGCCCAAACAAGTAGTCTGTGAGACGCCATAGTAATCCCAGGAAAGCAGGCCATTTGGGATTGGATCATTTTAATGTACATCCTTTCATTTGTTTACTCCAAGTCCACTTGAGAGACAATTTATTATACTAGTCTGACGGAACACACATGGCAACTTTCCTAATTGACACCCTCACCATGATTTGCTGTCTTCACCACTGAATTTTTTTTGTTTGTTGTTTTTTTTTTAGACAGGGTCTTTCTATGATGACAAAGCTATCCTTACTCCTGGGCTCAAGTGATTCTCCTGCCTCAGCCTCCCAAGTATCCAGGACTACAGGGGCATGCCACCACGCCTAGCTTTCATGTTTGAGCTTTTAGCTCCCTGTGATATATAAGGGAAAGTCAGTTTCCTCAGAGTTTTTCTCAGAAGTCTGCCTTCTGTGGCTTTCCTGTTCTGTCATTGTACTGACACACTTTTAGGTGTGTATTTATTCCACACTTTGAACAAACCATGTTTGTTCTGCTTTGACTGACAGCATGAAGAGCTGGGAAGCTAGAGGAGGGTTTCTGAGGACAGTCTTCCCAGTGCTCTTCAAATCTCAAGATAGTTCCTTACTCTCCCACTTTCCCTCCCTACCTGTCTAAGTATTCATTCATTCAGTTCAGTAGGTTCATCTAGATGCTAAGGAAGACACAATCTCATTTTAATTCACACTAAGAGGTCAATGACTACCCACACACAAACAGCATACATGTTTGTTTGTTTGTTTTTAAGAGCTTAGATTTAATTACAATCAGGCTCTAATAGAGGAAGCATCTTATAATATTGAATAGGTTAAAAAATATGAGCAGTGGAAGAGATTAATTCATGCAATAAATCTTTGGGTGCTTCTGTTTTAGTCTGTTTATACTGTTATTTTAAAAAATGCCTAGACTGGGTAATTTATAAGGAGTAGAAATTTACCTTTCCTAATTCTGGAGTCCAACATCAAGATCCCAGTATATTGTATCTGATGAGGGCTCACTCTCCATTTCCAAGATGGTGGTAGCCTGTTATTGCATCCTTACATGGCAGAAGGCCAAAAGAGCCAGACAGTTCTCTGAAGCCTTTTTTATAAGGGTATTTATCCCATCAGTGAGGGTGCAACCCTCATGACTTTAAGGCCTAAGTTTGTAATACAATTGTAATACAATTTTAGAGGAACACAAACATTCAAACCATAGCAGCCTCCTTTGTGCCAACACCATTCTGGGCCCTGGTATCCAGTGCTGAGGTCACAGATGTGATCCTGTATGGGGGTGGGGCTTGCAGGTTGGTCTTGCAGGGGAACCACTGGGAAGGCAGACTTGGCCTGCCAGTTTCACGCCATCTGTATTTTTCATATTCTCCCTTCCACTTTTGAGGCAACTCCAGAGGTATTGAACAAGTAGCATTGAAGCCTTTTGTAATCAAGGGTTGCATTTATATCACCTTCTAAATTATTAACTAAAGTCATTTTGTAAGTCACTGCAAATCTGAAAGATTATCTTCTTTGGAGGAAAAAAACTTATTTCTTACTTTTTTTAAAAAACAAGTCATTTGAATCTTCCATGTCATCTGCTTCTTTTCCACTGCAGGTTTGGATGAAAACACTGGCATGGTGATCAACAACCCCACACATAAGGCAAAGCACATAGCAGGGAAACCCATTCTCGATAACAATGGGGTGAATCTGTTTTCTTCCATTCTTATTGCCCTCTTGCTCCCAACAGTTGCTTGGGGATTTTGGCCCAGAGAGTGAACTTTATTTGATTTCCACATGTTGACACTGGTGAGTCCAGCTAAATTTGTAATTCCAAGTTTTATACTAAGAATAATAATTATAATAGCAAAGTGGGAATTCCACATTTTCCTTTCATAAACTCCCTTTAAGAGCTAACATCTTTCTGGTGAAAGAAGAGAATGTATAGAACTTGTTCATATTTTTCTTCTCCTGAATGTAGCTTTTTGAACATTGAGCTGTATTTTCCCTCTATAATGCTGTATATTGAACTAAAAGGTCTACGTAATCAGTGTAAGTTTTATTTTTTTGTGCTTTGTTTAAACCAGTCTAAGAACTGAAAGTGATGACCTTTTAAAAATGGCTCCCGTTTGTAGTAGAGAAGTACCACTGTGCCAGTTATCCCAAATTTACGTCTGTTTTAAATGACTTAAACCCGTCTGTACGGAGACCTAAATAAGTACACTGTCTGTACTTCTCCCATTTCCTCGCCAGTCACAGTTGTAAAAAGTGCAGATATTGGTCCCTAGGAAATTGTATGGCCTACACCTCCTTCTTCTTCTTTCCTTTGGGATAATAACAACAAAAAAAGGTAAATTTTTTTTCATATATATGACCATTTAAAAACATGAAAAAATATTTTTAAAACAAAAAGAAATCATCTAAAAAACTCGCAACTTTGGGCTCGTATGTAAATCAATGATAGAATACTTCCCTTATATGCATGAGACTCTGGTTTTGTTCCCCAGCACCAGAAAAAAAAATGCACCTTATGATATATTTCAGTTGTTATGTGAACAGAAATTATCTTGAATTCAATATTTTTAATGGCATTTTCTAGCTTTCTTTGAAATATGTATAGGAATCTGGGTTCACATTGGCATTCTGAACAGTTAGTCACTGAAAATTTATTGTAATTATATCTTAAAATGTTTCTCATTTGATTTCCATACCTTTCTTCCCCTGCCCCTTTTGCATTCTTAAAGAAATTGAGAAAGGATTCCATAAATAAGCTGCTACCACAGTACATACAGCTTAGAATTCTTTATTGTTGACCCTACTGTAGTGACAATTTAGAACTCACTTGGTTCAGGAAGGAAGACAAAATAATTCATACCTTCAGTGCTTCAGCAAGTAAACTGTGCATGTTTTTTAAAAAATGCTTTTGTCTGGGTTCCATGCCTCCAAATTGTGATTTAGTAGATATGGGGTAGAACCTGGGAATTGAGACTTTTTAAAGCTCTGGTGGCACATGAGAATCGTGGAAAGATTTCAGAAACACTGGTGCCCAGGCCCTTTTTCAGACAGAGTAAATCAGGGATGTTTTAAGGTAAGGCCCATACTCTCATTTTTATGTTCCCCATTCCACATTTGGGTATTTTTAATATTTCACCAGGCAATATTCACTGAACAGAATGTACTAAAGCACTATATCTAAAAGGAACTTCAAAAGAATAGAACTTTTCTTTCTGTTTTCTTTTATTCTTTCATTTTTATCTTGCTATGTATCTCAGGAACCTGGAACTCACTATGTGGCACAGGCTGGCTTCTAATTCTCTATCCTCCTGCCTCCTCCTGAGTGTTGGTATTAGAGACTTTGGCTACCACGCCTGGCAGAACTGTTCATTTTTAGGGGGACAGCTATTAGCAGCAGTACTGTATACTGTCCTTATGGATTAATAACTTCTGGTAATTATACAGTGTCTTAAGCTACATCACTTACCAAATCCTTATTATGTCAGTTTTTTGTGCAGTCCACATGTTGTTCTAATGTACTTTTTCTCTTTTCGTGGAGATTCATCTTTATAACATAATATGGGACAAAAAATACTTGTTGGAACCAGCTTTGAGTTTGGTACAATCACTGTATCATTAAGAGTTTGAGAAGATGCTGCTATACCATCCTTTATTTAAAAACCTTGGTCTATTTGTGTTTTGGAATCAAAGTTTTTCAGAATTTAGAAAATTAATAAGGGTCTCTTACAAAATATTACATTGAAAACTACTAAAAGTCCAGTCTAGAAACCCAATATCAATTATACTCCTGTTTTTGTGGTAAATTATGAATAACCCCACTAATGGCAATAACTAAAGGCTATAAAGAGCCAGGTACCAGTGGCTTACACCTGTAATCCTAGTGACTCAGGAGGCAGAGATCAAGAGGATCATGGTTCAAAGCCAGCCTGGGCAAATAGATCACAAGACCCTATCTCAAAAACACCCATTACAAAAAAAGAGCTGGTAGAGTGGCTCAAGGTGTAGACCCTGAGTTCAAGTCCCAGTACTGCAAGAAAAAGACTATAAAGTACCTTACATAAAGTTAGGTTTTGTCACCAAACTTGTAAAGAAACTTTATGTTTTCATTGTTTTTGGATATGAGAATTAAGATAAGAAATTAGTTTTTTTCCTCTCTCTCTCTTTAAATCCTACACATGTTTTACTGTAACATTTTATAATCAGATATTTAATTAGCCTATACTTCATTTTTGCTAAGTGGGCAGTTTAATGTTAAAAACACTTTTCACTGGAAGAGTTCAGTATAACAGTATAATAAAGCAGTATGTGTTGCCTGCTTAGGCAACAAAAACATGTACTGTTTGTTATTCTACTGTAATACCATGGAAGACTGCAATGTGTATGTGGTGCTAGATAGCTCCAGAAGGAGACTTCAGAGAGTATCATATTGAAAACATATCAGATGGGACCACCAAGAGAGCAAAGAATCAATACAGTAACTCCATTCTTAGCTTTTTCTCATTTCTTGAGTTACCTATGCCTTATAATATATCTGTTTTTTGTTTCTATCTGCTGCATGTATAGGATACTGGCTGCAGAAATATCAACCTCACCTCAGTTAAAGGCCTAGTAAAGAGAAAAATTATGTGAAATGAGATGTTTTAAACGTTGCCACATGTCTGCAGTATGAACAGCAGCTGCTCCCACAGTGAACGTGCTAGGGCCCTGTCATCTGGTCCTCCTGATGTAGCAAATGTTCCCAGTGCCATCACAATGAAAATGAACTGTACTAGCCACCAAATCCCAAATGAATTGTATGTGCTTTAAGAATGAAAACACAATTATGTGGCTTAATTAATCTCCTTATGGAGTATCTGCTTCTATAATTCCAGGTGGTACAGAATATTTTAAACAAACATCAGTGTTTAATGTCTTTGTTGAATTAAATTATTTGACTGTAATCAGCATTTCCTATAAGAGTCTCTGAAGTTAATAATCAGGAACATATCCCTGGAGAGAAATGAAACAAAAAAAATAGTTTTTTAACCCAAATTTCTGAGGCCTATGATGATTCCATTTCTCAATCATATGAAACATTATCAATGGTTTTGAAACTAATGAGTCAGGAGATTATTGTAGGAGGAGTGAAAGATTGAGGTGAGTCCTGAAATTATTTTCCTGGCCAAGACTAAATGTTGGTTCTCTTCCATTTATCATAATTTCCCCCTTCAAGATTTACTTTATAAATGTGACAATTCTTTGTGTTTGTCCTTTTTTATTAATATTTAATTTCTTAAATATACTGAATCTGTTCTTTTTGAAAAATTAGAACACGTATTATAAAACTAAAATGTTCTTTGCCCCACTTATCCCCTCAACATTGGCTCTCTTTCCTATCTTCTCCAAGATAATGACTGATAGAAATTTTTTATATAAGATTTAGTTTAGGTATATTTTTGCATGTTTTTAAAAAACATCAGTGAGATTGTTATAATTAATACCTTTTTAGTGCTGGGGATTGAACCCAGGGCCTTGTGAATGCTAGGTAAGTGGTCTACCACTGAGCTACATTCCCTAGCACTTTGAGCACTGACGTTTTTGCTACTTCAAGTCAGGTGCTTATATCCAGGAAAAATCTAGCAAAAAAGATTAGAAGATTGTACACCAAAATATCAATGTGCTATCTGATAAGATTATAGATGTTGAAATAATTTTAAGTATTTAAGGATATAAATTGTACTTCATTAAAGCCATTAACACATATACAGAGCTGGTATAACTCAGTGGTAGAGGACTGGCCTAGCATGGTCAAGGCCCTAGATTTGATCCCTAGCCCACACACACACACACACACACACACACACACACACACACTACATACATATACATATATATAGGTATAATTATTTCCTAAATGTCTGTAATCAAATGTGTTTCTTTCATGAATCAGAAAAAAAGGTCAAAGTAAAATACTCTGGGAATTCCCTCTTTTCCATCCACTCTTCCTTATTAATTAATTAATTAATTAATTTGTTTATTTATGTATGCATTTTTGGTGGATCTGGAGTTGAACTCAGGACTTTGTGCTTGCAAAGCAGGTGCCCTACCACCTGAGCCAGTCCCCCATAATTATTTTAAATGGTGTTATATTTCTTTATAAACTACCTCATTAGCAATGAACTAAAAGAGTAAAATGGAATTTCAGCATAACAGAATGTAAAGTAACCATAGGTACTCAAAGGAATCTTTTGACATCTTCACTTTTAGATTGTTGCAAAAATTAACGTATCACATACCTTTGTGCCTGTGTAGTAAATCCGGTCTGAGACTAGATTTCTCAGATTTTTCTGATTTTGCTTAGCAATTTGCATTTGAATTTACATTTCAAAATTCCTAACATATTGTTGTAGAATTCTAGAACAAAGGACATGAAGGAACTTTCTTAGCTCATTGCCCAGACATGATGTTAAAAGTACATATGCCATCGAGGGCATATGCTTCTTTTCTTTTGTGTATACTGTCCATTATGCCTGGAATTCTTTCTTCCTCTCCTCCCTCCTTGATCCTACAAAAACCAGCTCTGTGGCACATTCTTTAAGAAGCTTTTCAAGACCCTCTCAAGCATAATTAGCCATCTTCACACACACTATACTTTAACTATAGCAGTTATCACAAAAAGAGCATTTCTTGAATAAATACCGTCATTGTACTAATACTTAACCTAGTTCCTTAAACTACCAATATCCCTATTGCACAGAGCCTAGCCAATGTAGAACATGCTCAAAATATGGTTTCATTGTACATTCATGGAGCCA